CATAATAATTGTCACACTTCCACATTGTATGCATAAGTGTGACAATTATTATGTCTGTGTATGTGTGAGTGTTAACTGTTACCAAAAGTAATTGACACACTCTTGCTGTTACATGCAAATGTATGTTGTAAACTTCAGTGTGTCCGTCATTATAATCCCTGATCCAAGTGACCAGTTGTTTTATTTCGTTGTATTAATGGATGGGTAGAATAAGAATGAATGAATTATGTTTATGCTCTTTTATATCGTCTATTAACTACAATTGAAGGCATTTTCACACTGGCACAGTTTTTAAGGTGCCTTGTTGATACCGTATAGTAGGTAATTTTGGAAGAGATTAAATTTGGCGAACTTGGCGTTTTGATATAGCCATTTGCCAGAATAAAAATCCGCCATTTTTAGCCATTATTTTCATGCTCAATGGCACGTGGCCACGAATTCCCCAAATTAAAATCACCAATCACCAAAATTTGCAATTCGCCAAATTTTAGCCCCTCCAAAATTTCCCACTATACAGTACAATGCCCATTGATCGTGTTCACACTAGCAACTGAATTATGTATCATTTTGTGTTTTTGTTGCCATTGGTTTACATTAATTGGTCCCACTAAAATTTAAAACCAATCTAGAGTTGACACAATAATTCTTAGGCTAATTAACATTCTGCTCATGTACATTATAACACATAATACTGTGTATGTACATATACTTACGTTGGTAGTATACCTTAAGGCCACTATTATTTGCGAGTACTAATTTTTGCGATTTGTTAATGGTACTGATTTAGCAAGTACTAATTTTTGCGATTTTGCTCTTTTTTCCCAATTAATAACTGTTAATAAACCTAAATTATTAATAAATGCGAGTACTAATTTTTGCGATTTTAAAGCTACTCACAAAAAACACAAAAATTAGTACTCGCAAATAATAGTGGCCTTAAGGTAGTATCATCATGAGATCCATCAACCAGTGACTGTATAGTATCAGTAATCTCATATCTTGATGCATAAGAGAAACACTCATTAAGATATACCCTATAATAAAGGAATGGATACAATAAATACATGTATATTTACATACATGCACATGTACATGTATGCATCATTTATAATGTACATGTATTTATCATATTATTATTGAGTACTGTCCCCCTGTTCTTTGTAAGGATTCTTAATAGTGCTACTTACTATATCAAAGGGGAAAGGCCTGGCTACAGTATGTAGGGAAGACATTGTAATGATTGTATGGTCAGAGATTAAATGAACTAACTACATATACATGTACATGGAGATAGAAGAGCCACCAGCCCACTGTTATGTAGTACATACATTATGAGCATGTACTACATGATGTAGTTTAGTGGCTTGATTATCTGTTATAGCATAATAGCAAGCAATGTTATCGGATGTAAAAACACCAAAAGAAAAACACTTTCCAGTATTACATACATGTAAGTATACATAATTATCATAACTGACATGTACTTACTTGTTATTGTTTTTAGTCATTGTCACAGCTCTTGCTACTGATTCTTGTACATCAGTTGGTAATAATTTAATATCACCTAACACTCGTATGCACACACCATGATTATCAATTAGATCACTATAAAATAATAATAAAAATAAAAATAAAATTAAAAAAAAATAATAATGATAATATTAAAAAAAATAATATCAACAAATTTATTCTTCACCCTCTTTTCTTTCAGTACACAAACATGTATTGATGTCCTTAAGCAATGTAAAAAGTTTGAGCTGCTTTTGATAAATATCTATCGAGTTACAGCCATTTAAAAAACAAGCAAATTTTTAAAAATGCCAAATGTCAATACTCAATTTCTATCATAAGATCTGCAATTCACTGCCTCGGGGGATCAAGATCGAAAGTTCATTTTGTGAGATCCACTGATATTGCAAGGGCAATCGATGATTCCCAATTTAACTCTTGATTATTTATTAACTTAACTTGTGTTCAATTATTATTAATTTAACTTCGTGAATTAGCTTCCTTATTGTTCTTCTCTTCTCTTTTTATAAAACTTATTTTGGGGCTCAGTTCCCTTTTTATCTGTATACAGTTTTTTTTGAAAAATGGCTCCAAAATCACTTCAAATTTTTATTACATTTTCTGATACATATTGATGTAGTTATGTTGTGTAGAAAGTTTGAGTTGATTCCGACAAATATTTTTTGAGTTATGGCCATTTTAAGAATTTGGCCAATTTTTGAAAAATACCCAATGCTATAGCCCATGGTTTTTTCTGAAAATTGGCTCCAAAATCACTCCAAAATTTAATTACATTTTCTGATACATATTGATGTACTTATGCCATGTAGAAAGTTTGAGCTGTTTCCATCAAATATTTGTTGAGTTATGGCCATTTTAAAAATTTGGCCAATTTTTGAAAAATACCCAAGGCTATCCTCTGGTCAAGATAAGGTGCTCTAAGAAGTCTGGTGAGCATAGGAGCTCGTTTTCCCAGTATAGCAAGGCTGCAAAAGTCGTGGCAACCATATTGTTTTGGGGTGAATCCTACTTAGTAACGCTACTGCATTACTAATAGCCCATGGTTTTTTATGAAAAATGGCTCCGAAATCACTCCAAATTTTCATTACATTTTCTGATACATATTGATGTACTAATGCAGTGTAAAAAGTTTGTGCTGGTTTCGACTTTAATTTTTCAAGTTATGGCCATTTTAAGAAATTGGCCAAATTCTGAAAAATACTCAAGGCTTATAGCACATGGTTTTTTCTGAAAAATGGCTCCGAAATCACTCCAAATTTTTATTACATTTTCTGATACATATTGATGTCCTTATGCTGTGTAGAAAGTTTAAGCTGATTCCAACTTCAATTTTTCAAGTTAAGGCCATTTTAAGAAATCGGCCAAATTCTGAAAAATACTCAAGGCTATTATAGCCCTTGGTTTTTTCTGAAAAATGGCTCCGAAATCACTCCAAATTTTTATTACATTTTCTGATACATATTGATGTCCTTATGCTGTGTAGAAAGTTTAAGCTGATTCCAACTTCAATTTTTCAAGTTAAGGCCATTTTAAGAAATCGGCCAAATTCTGAAAAATACTCAAGGCTATTATAGCCCTTGGTTTTTTTCTGAAAAATAGCTCCAAAATCACTCCAAATTTTTATTACATTTTCTGATACATATTGATGTACTTATGCTGTTTAGAAAATTTGAGCTGATTTCGACAAAAATTTTTTTAGTTATGGCCATTTTAAAAAATTAGCCAATTGTTTTTTCTAAAAAATGGCTCTAAAATCACCCCAAATTTTCTTACATTTTTGGATACATATTGATGTACTTATGCTGTGTAGAAGTTTTAACTGTTCCTGACAAAAATTTTTCGACTTACAGCATTCAAAAAAATTTGCCAATTTAATAGAGACTTTGACCCAATTTTTGAACAACAGTAAAATTATAATTATTGTCTCCTAGCTATAATACTATATCACTTACAATTACTCATAAGTCCAGAGCCTTCAGCCTCAACTTCAGCAGCCTAGACTGAAAATAACATGATATCAACTCAGTATTACATTAATATTATATAAAAGGATCAGTAATTCTTAAATAAACTTACAATGGAGCCTTTAGTTCATTATCCATGGACATAGAGCTTCCTACATTTCCTTAAATGTATTTTTAATTTAGGCCACATTTACATGACTACATTTTTTTTTTAAATGGAAATATTTTTGGTTGGGTTTACACTAATATCAAATCCAAACAAAATAAAAACAAATACTAAAAGGAATAATTCTATAAACAAATGATAAATTCTAATGACAATGCAGCTGTTGGATTAGTGTAAACACCTGAAACAAGAATAACAAAAATGATGTGGTGGAGTTGTGTAAACATGACCTTATTTTAAAAATTATTTTTAATAACAGCATAGTACAGAGTATTATTAAAAATATAAACATACAATTATTTGTATAGTAAAAAATTAATGTCAGTAACTTTAAAGTACTAGTTTATAATTTAGTTCAATTCATTAGCTTACTAAATAATGCAACAGCATTAGTAATTTAAAAAATAAATAATAATAATAATAATAATAAATTGGCTAAAGAGAGGAAGGGGATTATTAGGATGTGAAAGAAGTATAAAAGCTGAAGAAAATAGTCTTGGTTGGTATGTTAAGAAATCAGTAGGACCGTTATTGAAAGCAGTTGGAAGAAGTAAGATCTTAGATGTAGAGGGGAGTATGCCAAAGGAAAGTTATAGGAATAAGAATGTATGGACAGTATTACAGGGAGATGAGGGAAGGAGCAGATATACACAAGACATGGACGTGGTTACAAAAGAGTGATATAAAACCAGAGACAGATGAGGCTCTTATTTGTGCAGGACAAGAACAGGCACTGAGAACTAACTATATTAAATGCAAGATTGATGGCTCCAATGAGATCACCATTGTGTCATTTATGCAGAAAGAAGGTGAGAGTATATACCACATTGTAAGTGAATGTAAAGTGCTAACTCAGAGAGAATACAAAAGGAGACATGACAAGATTGCTCAGTTCATCCATTGGGAGCTATTTGGGAAATTTGATATGGAAAGAGGGAGGAATTGGTACAATTACAAGCCTGAGGGGATAATTGAAACAGTTGAAGTAAAGACTTTATGAGACTTCATGATTCAGTGTGACAGAATGGTTGAACATTGCAAGCCAGATATTGTAGTTGTTATGAAAAGGGAGAAGAGTTGTATGATTATAGATGTGGCAGTTCCAGGTGATACTCGAGTCGAAGGAAAGGAAGATGAAAAAGTTGAGAAATATCAGGAATTGAGACAGGAAATTGTAAAGCTATGGGGGATGAAGAAGGTGGAAGTAATACCAATTGTAGTTGGAGTGCTGGAGGCAGTATCATACAGGATCAATGACTGGTTAAAGAGGTTGGAGATTAACAACAAAGTAGAGCATATACAGAAGACTGTGTTATTGGGATCTGCACAAATTCTGAGGAGACATTTAAATATGTAATTGTGTATCATAGTCTGTTTGTTATGGACTGATACTGAGTTTTGTATCAACTTGTATGATGTGATTATATTTAAATAATAATAATAATAATAATAATAATAATAATACTACACACCGACAAAAACAGTTATGATAGTAATTAATAAAAGTGTTACTAATGATAAGTAATATCAATGCATATAAACATATTCAATAAAAGTTAATGTATAAAAGCTATGGCATGTAAAAGAAATCTCATTTCAATAAAAAGTGGAGCAGAAACAAGTACACAAACTATTAATGCTCATAAACAATACAACATAATATACAATACAACAATGAATGATTTATAATAACAAAAATAAGAATAATAAACCAGAGGAAATCATCATAATGCTGCATATTGTATAACAACTACCAATAGAAATAATAAATAAATACTGAGCATTACTTTACTGTAAAAAAAACATCATCAAAAATAGGAAAAAATTGCCCTGCTGCAAAAATGAAAAAATTACCTAACAAGAAGTCTCCATTATTCTTGAAGATATTAAAGTTAACAAGAGAGAGATTTGATGCCATAGTGTTAATATAATGAAGAAAGGAAATGATTGAATGTGTTTGTGTAGAAGTGAAGGTGTAGTAGAGAATGAGTGTGATGTGGTGAATTGGTAATACGTACTAAAGAATTG